GGTCACATTTGCAGTCAGCTTTTGTATTTAATTTAGAGACAGCAACTCACTGAGTTGATTAGCACCTCGCTTTTGCTGAGGATGGTTTGAACACATGATCCACCTGCCTCATCCTTCCAACCTGCTGGGATTACAGAAGTGCACCACCATGCACAACCAACGCATGTGATTTTTTAAAAAGCATACTAAAATGCAGCCAAAAAGGCTTACTTACACCTTCTTTTATACTCACAAAGTATTGCCTGAAACTGAGGGTCCCACAATGGCATTAAGGCCAGGGTTCATGATCCCACTGTAAACATAAAAATATACTGATTTAGTATTTTACTTTATAAAGAGTTCCATAGGTTTAGGGTCTACACTGAATGCATTTAGGAAAGGTTGATGAAATTGCAGATAGATAACAAGCACCAAATCTTAATGTAAAATATCATTGATTAATAGAAGTCTAGTTAGGACCTATAAAAAATGTCTGAGATCCCTCAAATATCTGGAAACCCCTAATCTCTTTGGGGGAAATGACACATTTCATGTTCAGACCACAAAATAAGTAGCAATTTTTTTATGAATCATCTGCATTACTCTTACTCCTTTTAAAACAGTTTCTAAATCATGTTTAATGATCAGCCTCTTCAAATCCCCTCACCTGCTTCCAAGTCAAGTTAGACACCATTAATGAATACTGATTTGGAGATTGATCAGCAGTAATGTTCTCACTTTTAAAATCTAGTCAGAATGAAAATTAATATATCTTCAGTAGAAATCAAAGAGTGGAGCAAAGTACTCCAGAGTATTAAAAAAAAAATCGTATGTTCTTCACATTCAGGAAAAATGTCTTACCAATTAAAAAAAACAGGGTAGATGATTCACTGCTTTGTTAAGTATCTGATTAATTGACTGGAAAATGTTCTGTGTGTATTGGGTGACATCCCTGTAGTATGGACATCCTTGTGAGATGCACAGTCAGAAAATGGATAATAAGTTTGCTTCAATCAAATTAAGAGAATTTCTGAGAGTGTAAACAATCAGAGTAGAAGAGGATGATTATGGAAGTGTTGACTGTGCTAAGACCCAAGAAGTCAATTTTAGGCTGATTATTATCCTAAATATAAGAGGTGAATCTACTAGGAAGAATTAGGTGGAGGAAAAGAACTAAGGGCAGGGCTACTGCAGGGGCACAGGAGTGCACAAAGCAGTCTGGCTTCAGGCATTCAGAACTCTGGTGTGTATGCCAGTCCCTCTTTTGAATTGCTAGGCACATCAAGATGTGTTCTACAGTGGAATAAGTTTCTACTCCAAGCACAGGATCAAAGCCAACAGCTATGTGCCCTCATATACTGATACCCAGGGAGGTTGATCCTATGATTGCATAGGTGTCATGAAATATGAAAGTCCCAGTGCAACTGCCCCCACAGCACTCACATCTAGAATAATCTCATCTTTCTTGGCCTGTAGCACCTGATCTTTAACAAATGAAACCAGGGCTGCCAGAGGCTGAGGTGATATGTACAATTCACTTTGTTTATTAACTATGGAAACTCTGAATCACTGGACTATTGAGAGTGTGGTAAACTGGGATTCAGAAAATTCTTAATTCATTTGTTATCCTTCCTTCCCCAGTGTAAAGACACACAAATGACTGGGTATGTCTGGGGGTGTAGGTCAGTGCAAGTGGGGGTATTTAGCATGCATGAAGTCTTGGGTTCAATAATTAGTAATAACCGAAATTCACAATGCTTGGGCAAACTCTCAAAGTGCATTTGTCTACAGTTCTTAATGCATCTACCTTATTAATATCTACCTAGAAACTGCTTCAGAAGTGATCAGGAAAAGCCTTTTTATTTCCTAAGTTTTCATTGCCTCTAAAATTTCCCATGTTTTTAAGATATGTAGTCAAAAAAAAGAGCAAGCCATCCTGAATGATTCAACCAGAAATACAAATGTGAATATAGTCAGGCAAAGCATTTCAAAAGTCCCTTTGTTTGGCTTTCTTTGACAGTAAATCCCAGTGTTACAGAAAACATCAGTAGTGTAGAAACCCAAATGCCACAGTTACTATGTAGGGCACTGACTAGTTGCACATCCATTCAGGCAACACAATTATGTTGTGTCTACTATGTATGTACAAGATACTATTTTAGGACATGGGATAGAGATGAGAGCAAATCCAGTAGATAAACAAATGGAAAAACAAAGTCCTAGCCCCCTGGAGTTCACACTCTAGTCAAGGGAATGAACACCTACAGGTGGTCAATTATTTTCTATTTCCCAAACACCATGAGTAGACGGAACTATGCTAATTTGTTTCAATAGAGTCTGGAGCTACACTCATGTCAAAAATTCAGTTAAGTCCTTTACCTTTCCTGATCTCCCCATCTTCACCTCCACCTTTCTCTCAGCCCTCACAAGCCATTCCCTTCTTGTTTTCTGCTTTACAGCATATGCCTCTCTCCTAAAACTGTAAAACCTTGCCAAGAAGACTGTGTCTTTCTGTAACCACTTCTCCCTCCTGCCCTTCTGCTGAACCCTGCACTACTATTAATTCAAGTTTCCATACTGGTTGGTGAGGGTATAGATAAAAGACAAACAGACACACAAATAGAGAAAAAACTGGGGCCTGGTAGATCACTGTACATTGATAGATAAATAGTGACCATGAGCAGGCTCAGCAAATTCATTATATAGGTTTAAACAGCAAAAGGAACAATTGTGAGGAAGTTTCTTCAAGAAAAGCAAAACTAAAATTTTGAATATAAACAGCCCAATTAGAAATATCAGCTTACACCCCTAATTCTCTTCCCCCAGGCAGATGATATTTGAACATAGGTCATGAACTAATAAATCCATTGCTAGTATGGAATTTCCCTTTCAACAGGTTATCACTAAAGAAGCTCTGTAGTCTAAAATTGGCACCTTAGGCCCCTAGAGTTTCCAGGAGGGGTATTGTCTCTGAATCCACACAGTTCAAAGACCATAATTCATTTACTGCTCTTGACACCTTCCCCCATTAGACATGGCACACTGAATCCCAAATACTGACTGTACAACATGAAAAGACCCGAAGGATTCCTGTTGGATCTACTACACATTATGAGATCATGGTACACCCTTTGGTCTTGTTTTGTTTATAGTCAAAGGAGTTAAATGCCATTCTTGGAACATTGTCAACCTCTCTCTCTGTCTCTGTCTCTTTCTCTCTCTACATACATACACACATGCACACACACACACACACACACACACACACACACACAAAGAGTTTTCACTTTCTGTATCTCCATGTTCCCTCCAATGGAGGATGAGGAGGTTCTGTATTGTCTTTGAATAATTCAATCAATCATAGCAAAAAAAATGCAGGGAAACTGCTATCATTTTATAATTCTTCCATCAGACTAAAAGGTTTCTATGAATAGAGGGCATTTCTGTAACTAGCGTCTTCAACAATACCAAACACCTACTAGGATCCCTATTTGGTTGAATAAGAGAATATCCACCTTAGTTTATTGAGTGTATAATTAACTAGCTGAATGGGGTAAGTGAGGTAAATGAACACTCATACAGTGTGTACTTTAAAATTGTTTAATTTGCACATATTCAAAGCATGGTACCTTCTACCTCGTTCATCAGAAAATTTGCATGGAAAATTATTTCATAATTACTGTGTTTCACAAAATGCTTGTCAGCTTTTCAGTAGTCAATCTAACTAATCATATAGCAAAAGATCAAAGCCTTATGTTCACTATTCCTCTCCCTATTCTAGTCAGGATTACTTAACCAACACAAGAGAAAGACAAAAAGTAGGCAAGAGAGCAGGTATTCCTGCATGGAAAGAGTTCCAGTCCTGCACAGCAGCCCTTGCCTCAGCCCAGTCAGCCCTTAATTTTTTGCTATTTCTTTACCTTCAATGACTTAAAAATATCTATGCTATTTTGTCAATTCTTTGATTTCTACATGGAGTTGGCTGGCATTAACTGAAAAGTATAAAATCATATAAAAATGTATCAAGAAAATGGAACAAACATCTACTTCCATATAGATCTGCAGCCACACTGAGTCAAAAAAAAATTGTAGCCACTCTTCAGCCTTGAAAAGCCAGTTGAAGGTGCTCACTTTGACTAGGGATGATTATTTCCCTTATTATACAAACAGAATTCATAGGCAATGGTATCTAAGCAAAGCCAAATTATATCATGACTCCATAGAAGGGAAGTAGAGGCTCACAAATATCAGAAAAAAAACACTGACACTTCTAAGGCCAGCATCTGTGAACTCATAGAGGTACCTCATAGTAATAGGTTCTATGATAACACTCATCTCCTTTCCACTCTAGATCTCACTTCAGCACCACACTTTAAATTCTGATTATGTTTCTGGATAAAAAGAATAAAAATAAAATTACAATTATTAGGTACTCTATAAACTACATAACATCAGTGAGATTCTAGGGATCTTAGGTTGTAGGGATGAGATTGTATATGTTCTATCTGTCTACATTATAGTAATAAGTAAATTGTTATACAATGTGAAAAATCATAGACCATTCATTTAAAACAAGTCTATTTAAAAAGAAAAGTACTTTCACAATATGCTCTCATTTCAACCTCCTTGTTGTAGAATATAAAGGACATAAAGTGCACAATTACCTCAAACCAATCTGTTTCAGAAAGCTCATTTGAGTAGTGAAATAGAAATATTGGCCTATTTCAACTAAAACATGTGGTTGACACATGAAAAACTAAATGGCACATTAATTTGTCAGTTTCTCAAAGATTAATACACATGGTACAATCACTTTTACAAATGAATTGTTAGTTCAGTTCCTTTCAAAGTTAAACATACACTTAAGAGAATATCTCACTCATACTTTAGACAAAAGAAATGAAAGCATTTGTTAATATGTCTAAAGATTTGAACACAAATATTCATAGAGTTTATTGCTAATACAGAAAACCTGGAAGTTCACTGTAGGTCAATAAAGTAGTCCTTTAAAAGGTCATGCACAAGTGAGGCTGGAGGCATTTCTGTTCCAGACCTTAAACTACTACAGAGCAATAGAAACAAAAACAGCATGGTATTGGCACCAAAGTAGACCTGTAGGCCAATGTTACAGAAGAGAAGACACAGAATCTAACCCACATAACTACAGTTATCTTATATTAGACAAAAGTGCCTAAAACATACACTGGAGAAAAGATTGCCTCTTCAAAAAATACTGCTGGAAAAACTGGAAATCCACATATAACAAAATAAAATTGAACTTCTATCTCTTACCATGCACAAAACTCAACTAACTCAAAGTGGATCAAGGACCAAGTAATTAAACCAGAGACCCTGCACCTAATGGAAGAAAAAGTAGGCCCAAATCTCCATCATGTCGGATTAGGCCCCAATGTCCTTAGTAAGACTCACATAGTGCAAGAAACAAAATAAAAAAGTCAATCAATGGGATGTATTCATACTAAAAAGGTTCTTCTATGCAAAAGAAACAATCAGTGAGATGCATAGAGAGCCTACATCTTGGGAGCAAATCTTTACCACAAGCACATTGGATAGAGCACTAATTTCTAGGATATATAAAGCACTCAAAATCTTAACAGAAAAAAGACAAATAACCCAATCAATAAATATGCCAAGGACCTGAACAGACACTTCTCAGAAGATGATATACAATCAATCAACACACATATGAAAAAATGTTCAACATCTCTAGCAATTAGAGAAATGCAAATCAAAACTAGTCTTAAGATTTCATCTCACTCTAGTCAGAATGGCAGCTATCAAGAATACAAACAACAATAAGTGTTGACTAGGATGTGTGGAAAAAGGCGCACTCACACATTGCTGGTGGGGTGGCAAATTGATGCAACCACTCTGGAAAACAGTATGAATATTCCTTGGAAAACTTGGAATGGAACCAATATTTGACCCAGCTATCCCACTCCTCAGTTTATACCCAAAGGACTTAAAAACAGCATATTACAGGGACACAGCCATACCAGTGTTTATAGCAGCACAATTCACAATAGCTACATTGTAGAACCAACCCAAATTCCCTTCAGTAGATGAGTGGATAGGAAAACTTTGGTATATATACACAATATAATATTACTCAGCATTAAAAGAGAATAAAATCATGACATTTGCAGGTAAGTGGATGGAGTTCGAGAATATATTGCTAAATGATGCAAGCCAAATCCTAAAAACCAAAGGCCAAATAATTTCTTTGATATGAGGATGCTGACTCATAATGGCAATGGTGGAGAGCATGGGAGGAATGGAGGAACTTTAAACAGGGTAAAGGGGAGGAAGGGTAAGGGAGGGGGGAAGGGGATAGAAAAGATGGTGAAATGAGTTAGACATCATTACCCTAAGTACATATATGAAGACACAAATGGTGTGAAAATAGATTGCGTACAATCAGTGACTTGAAAAATTGTGCTCTATATGTACAATATGAAATGAATTACATTCTGCCATCATGTATAAGAAATTAGAATAAATAAATAATTTAATTTTAAAAAATGGTCATGCACATACTTGATATCTGATAGTATCCTTTTCTCAGTTATTTTCTGTTTAAACAGGAAGCCTCTCTTCTCTTTTACATGATAACAGATGTTGTAGAAACATAACACAGGCCCTTTCTGGTCACTGGAGGTGGTCCCAAGGAAGTCATCAGAGTTTACTGTGAGTAAGTCAATTGAAAATGAGTCCTTATTGGCAGACATTTGCAGAGTTATGTTTTTCTGTAGAGGGAAAACCAATAGTATGTTGATAGTTTTGGTAATCAAGATTTTAAACACCAGATAAGAACACATTTAAACCAAGCATCTTCTAAACTGTGCTGCAGTGAGTAGGTTCTTTCCCAAAGAACAGCCCACATGATTGTGATAAGAACAATATTAGAACCTATAATCAGAGGCAGATACAAATTAAAATACTGGCATTCCAGTTAGATATCACATTCCCAAATTCAGGAGTCCTAAAAAGTAAATATTATGAAAATTATACAAAACCCAGAAAGGAAGTAAAAGGCAGATGATAGTTATATCTTGTCTGACTTGAAATTCACACTATGATACAACTTCGGTTCAGGGATAGCCTATATGATCTTCATGCAGCTTCTGTATTTTTTTAATATTGAAGTTTATAATATTTGGGCTACAAAAGGAGCTTAGTATAGCAGTCAGGAGCTGGAAAGATTTTTCTGAATTTATAGTTTCAACTTGTACATCTCTGGTTGTTGCGCACCTTCAATTATCCAAAACGGTAAATTCCAACATTGTTTTGTACTGGCATTATTATTTATTTAATGGGCAAACATATTAAAATGATTAAGTAAATCAAACCAATAGTTAAACAGCTCAAGGCCTTAAAGAAAAATTGAATATTAAGTTAATGTGAAGTAAAAAATGTTTCATTAGAGAGTTACAAAAGGCTCCTTAAATCAGTTCAGAATAAGACTTGGTGCTGAACTGAGGTTGTTAAATAGGTTTGAAATACTAACTGCAATAATTAGAGTTTTAATTTGTGAAATCCAAAATCATCCATGAAGGACTTTCTCTTTGCCTATGGAGGACAGCTGCTCCATCCTCCTGAGAACAACCATCGAAGCAGATGGAACATGAGAAGGAGCATGTGAAATGTCTCTGATGAGAGCAACAATGCCACAGGAGTGGAGAAACCAAAATCACAGAAAGTAGGAAGAGCACTGAGCAATCCCAGCACCTCATGCCTTTTCCTCTCCAGATATTTGGAAATGCAAACTTTATACACAAGGGGCAACATTGGGATCAGGCAGGAAAAGGCTACTAGAGGCATCTTCCAGAAGCCCTTAATACATCTGAGAAAATATCTCAGCAGTCTTTAAGCCTGGGAGACAAAAATTGGACAGCTGGGCCTGCAAAGGTGATGAGAGAACCCATCTTTAGAGATCCCAGAAGCATTATTGCCTGGGAATAAGGGAAAACCCAAAATAGACCATTCTCTGCTTAATCAGGGTCATCTACTCAGACATTGCTAGTAGAAAGTTAAATCCACTTTCAAAGAAGATATCAGCCAAGTGTGGTGGCACACACTTGTAATTATGGAATTCAGGTGGCTGAGGTAGACGATCACAAGTTTAAGACAGCCTCAGCAAATTAGTGAGGCCCTAGGCAATATAGTGAGATGCTGTCTCAAAATAAATAAATAAATAGGGTGTGGATGTGGCTCAATAGGTAAGAATCCTGGATTTAATCCCTGGTAAGAATCACCAAAAAAGATCATTGCACAAACTTTTAATCTAAAATTCCCAGGCATGCCAGAATATAGGAGCTAAAGTTTCAAATCAGAATATAAAGGAAGACCCACAGGTGAAACACAGTGGAGTTATCAAACATTGACATTAAAATCATTTATTAATATGTTCAGGAAAACATAGGTTATCACCAAATAACCAGACCTTAAAAAAGTAATTTAAAAACTCCAGTTAGATGTGATGATACAAATCACTATAACCAGCTACAAAAGGGACTCAGGTAGAACAAGTGGTCAGGAAAGTGCACTCCAATGAGACTGTTGAGCTTTCACTGAGGGAGGCCATCTGAAGGAGCAGTGCTGATCTGAGCACGAATGTACAAAACTAGCAAAGAGGCCAGAGGGCCTGGTATGTGATGGAGGGGAAGAAGAGAGGAGCTAAGTTCAGAGGAAGGACAGCTGAAGCAGAGCCCATAAGTAATTTGACTTGGACTAGAAATGAGAATGAGAGGTACCAGGAAGTTCTGGGTAAAGGAATGGCATGATTTTAACTATTTTTACCACTCTGACTTTTATCAGAGGAAGGGATGGAGCAAGGAGATCATATGAGAGGCTACTGTAACAATCCAAGAGCCAGGGGACACTGTTATGACCCCCTCATCTGTCATAACATCTTAGAAGACTTCTTTATCTCTGTATGTGCTGCCACAGTACAATACCACTCAAGAACTCCAAGAACAGAAAGAGCACCAGGTTTATCACACACAACATACCAAGAACACACCACGTGATGAACTCTCTACTGGCCCAGTAGAAAATGCAGGTGTGGATGGGAAAGCACAGAACTTCAAGAGGAGGAGAACCTCATTTACCAGCAAGGACACAACCAAATAGAGGATTTGTAAGGGTTCTTTATGAACTTAACTTGTTCCAAAGCATCCCAGCCCATGATCAATTTGGGGACTTAAAAAAAGGGTAGGAATGTGGCTCAGTGGTAGAGTGCTTGCCTCTCATGCATGAGGCCCTGAGTTCAATTCCCATCACCAACACAAAAAAGAAATTTAAAAAAAAGAATACAATACATAGTAAAGATTGACGTTATGGCCCTTGGAAACTAGAGAAAATCTCATGTAAATTTAAAAGGAAACCCCCTTGAATTCAAATAAGAGGAGAAGGTAACAAGACTTAGGGGAGGGCGTATCTGAGGCAGTTAGGAAGACATCACTGGCAGATGCCCTGGGAAGTCCTCACCTTTTGTCTACTTTTTGCATCAAGCTGATCCCAACCTACTGGCACACTCTTTAGACCTTCTTTGGCTTCTCTCATTCAGTGCTTCCTCTTTCTTTAAAAAAATTCCATCTCCCCTCACCAGTGGGAGATTACAAGACTTGTTACCTTCTAGAAACATCTATTTTACCTTCTACATGGATTGAATTGTATTACCTAATGCTAACTGAGCCTAAGAACTAAATTCCAGCCAGACCCTGCTCTAAATAGCAGCAAGGTCTTCTCCAGTCACAAATCCAAGAAATTGAGGTAGTGATCCATAAAGTTTAGGAAAACTGGTTCAACTGTTCCCTGATGAAGTAGAAATTTTATTCCCTTCTTGTTAAAACAAACTTAACCATAGATGGGAGCAGAAGGTAGAATAGAGATTTTTCTCTGTACTTATCACACCATTCCTAGCTTAAATGACTGCTACACTAATAACTTTAAATATGATCCCCTGAATATTTTCTCTCTATAAATAAATTTACTAGGTAACTCAAACTCAGGGATCTACTCTTCTCAGCCTCCTAGTGAGTGGAGAGAAGGAGTACTCATCTGTATGGGTTTCGTAGGATTATGATGCATGACTGACTTTGAATATATATTAATATTAATGGCAATATATATTAGTAACCACAGAAGTGGACATTAAGTAGGAGAGATATACAGTATAAGAATAAAATTATACAAGACATTATTGAAAAAGAAAATTATGGGAACAAAATCATCTAACTATCAATATTTGGTTCACATTCTGAAGTGAACTCAGCATTGATTATTTAAAGAACAGATGAGGATTTCATAGTCTAGAAAGCCTATAGTCACAGGTAGGGAGACCATTTGGGCTATTTAATTTTCATTGAAACCTTTTAATCCTAGCTTTCTACCCCAGAGTATATGGCTCATTTTTAACATAATATAAATCTTCCTCCCTCCTTTGTCCTGTCTTCAACTGCTACCAAACTCATATCAAAAACTGTCAGCATACTCTTTGAAGACAGAGATAAACCAATTACCCTCATCTTATAGTTGCACATTGTAGATGTGTAAGAAAAAGTCACACCAAACACTTACTTATGTTAAATTAGTGTGGGTCAATTGAAAAATATATACATATATTTTTTAAACTAATGACAAACCCATTTATAGACTATTAAAAGAACATGATGCCCACCTATCCCTCTAAAAAATCCAGGTTTATTCCCAAATATGATCCAGCCATCAACAGTAGCATGTGGGATCACAGGGTCTTATCATTCAAGTGAGTCTTATAACACTTAAGAGTAAGGACAGTTACAACTACAAAAATCCTCCTTAGGAAGTGCCCTTAGAACACACACTACTGCATACATATGGATTGCACTGAGGGTGCTTTCCATTGCCATTCCTCTGTCTCTTCTGAATGCCTAGGTGACTGACACGCGCACACACACACACACACACACACACACACACACACACAACATATTGCTCGAAAATAACTGCCATGAAAACAGACCACAGATCAATGGTACAGAATAGAAGACTCATAAACAAAACCATTCAGAAATACTCAAATAATCCTTTTAGACAAAGATGCAAAAAACTTGCATGGGAGCATGGACAGTCTTTTTTAAAAATGGTGCTTGGAAAGCAGGTTATCCATATATAGAAGAATGAATATACAGTAGAATGGATATAGAAGCATGAAAATGAAACAACATCCTGTCATTATGTACACACAAAATGCAACAAAAATGGAGAAAAAAAGTTTTAAAACAATAAAAAGTAAACACCAGGAAAAGCTTCTCTCATGAACCAGCTTCAGAGGGAATGACTGATCATTCTCTATCTCTAATGGCCTTCAGGATACACATTTTTATGTACAGAGGGCTTTTCAGTTCACCTGTGTCTATTGCAATGTGCTCCCTCAGGCAATGTTCTACTCTAGGTGGTAGTTTACTTTATCTTTCACATGCTCACTTCAAATGCTTCATGGATGCCTAATGATATTAAGTTCAGAAATAGATTTGCACACGTGTGTGTGTGTGTTTTAATACATGTTATGTAAAGTAATGTGTTCCCCCAAGTGAACTCCTGAATAATGTCCAGGACCCTGGAAAAAATAAGCCAAGTAAACACAATTGTTGCTATGAATCTGTATATTTTTCTGAAAAAGGAATGACTAAACAATATATATAAACATATTGCTTTGTATACACAAACATTTTAGAACTTATCTACAATTTAGTTTTGGGGCTGAATTTTTTGCATCATTTGGAAGTTTTCAGTATTGTTTTTAGTAAGTGTTGTAAATAGTTGGTTCATTTTTACATTTAATCATCAAAACTGAAATATTTCCATAAAAATTCTGAAAGAGACCTCAAGAACTCTGTAGCAAACTACCCAAATTGATGAGAAAATTAACCTGGGAATAAGAAAAATAATTGCTTCACCAATCCCTTTAAAGTATTAATGCTAATAAATATTTCCTCCACCAGCAGTAATCCCCATGCTCAGGAAAGTTTTCCTTCTTCAATATAAACTCTCCTTATCTTCACACATTTGAGAACAGGCAAGAGTTTTATCTTAACTGACTTGTGCAGGCTGGACTCCCTACCAGAC